GTCTTCTATTGTCTTATCTAGAGTGATCGTGCAACTGTACAAAATCAAGTAAAAGAAAAGAAAAATACAATCAAACAAACAGACCAAAACAGCAACGACGACGACGACAACGCTTTTAGCGTTCTCTTAAATAGTCAATACCTTAAGATTTTCTGCTTCCTCAAGTTTCCTTCGTTCAGATAACGCAAACTTCTCTTGCCAGTTCCTGAACAAAAAATTCATTATACAACTCCGCACAATATCCTAACGACGTTCCCTTTTTACTTTAAGTCCCACGTGCATCCAAAAACCTTTGCAATCGTTTCTTGTTTTAAGCGCCGTTTACACGAGCAATTTTTCCTTGACAAGGAAAAATTGTCAATTTTATCCCATTTACACGAGCAATTTTTCCTTGTCAAGGAAAACTTGTCAAGGAAAAATTGCTCGTGTAAACTGCGCTTTACAAATGATTTTTTGTTGAATGAAAGGTGCTTTCTGATTGGTTAACGAGAAAATCGCGCAAAGGTTCCTGGATATACTTGGACCTTTAAACTACTGAAGTGAAGTGAAAGAAAGGCATCATGGTTTTGTACCTTGTGGACTCGACCAGGAGTCGTTGCGATTCCATTAGTTTTTCTCGAAGAAGCTGGATTTCTGTCAAGGCATTTCTATTGTCCTCTGGTGAATTGGTAGCATGCATTTGATGGAGGCGATCAATTTCGGCTCTCAGTTCTAATGGAGATGTAAATCTTATTAATTAATCAGCAATTCTGACTGTGATAGAGATCTCTAATGGTTCAGAAGAGTGAAGTCGGAGGGCCGAGTTCATCTCGTTGAGTAAGTGAAGACGTGGATGTAAGTCGAGTCATGCTTACACTGAACCGTAAACAGTTAATGTTTGGTACATGAACAGCTTGTGCCTTGCAAAGCGGCCCTCTTGGAACCCCTGTGGAAGAAGGCCGCTTCGCACACTTGTCAGCTTGAGGCATGACATATTATGCCCCACACGACAAAAATTCAGCACTGATTCAAACGTCGATCTGCTCATGTGCTGATTCAAATCTTGGGCTACTTAGAAAACCACCATTTATTCTATACAAGGCATTCAATACTCGCCATATGGACTTCCCCCACCCCGTTAATACATACCTGTACTTAACACTCTTTTAATAAGTCCCCATGTGTTGTTTTCTCCGTACTTGACGTCAAATTTATTCTTTTGAAATTTTTACAATACAAAAGGAATTCAAAAGAATAATTTTGACGTCAAGTGCGGAGAAGACAATACCTCGGGACTTATTAAAAGGATGCATAGATAATCCCCGCTCCTCGCTATTGCGGTCACTTAATTCATTGCAGTCCGTAATAACGAGGGTTGACTGCATATCAAGCTTGTAAACGGTCATATATACCTCGGATGATTTTCGCGTTTGGATCTTCGTTGATTACAGCTCGGTTCACTATCGTTCGCGCTCTTTGCGCATATTTGTGTAATGTTAAGAACAAAATAACAGAAGCACTATCATTTCTTGTTCATTATGATTTAGCAAGACATTCACTAATACCCTGCGAGCAGAGGAAGGAGGTGGAACAATCCTCTGTTCGCAGGGTAATTCACTAACAACCTAACAGGCAAATTTAACAAAATTCCATGAATTCCATTTTTACGCGTTTTTTAACTTTTGAAAATGCGATTTTCTAGGACTATTTTTGACGATATTTTTTGATGTTTACGAACGTTTCCAGTGGCGATTTTCAAAATTGCGACATTTCGACCCAGCACTAACAAGCCACATTTTATCAGATTCAAGTTGTTTTCCAGGAGTTTTAGCGATGTTCCTCATTTTCAAGTGCTTTTCAAGCGCCCTTGAAAACGAGTTATCAATTCCAGGACTTTTCAAGGATTTTAAGGAGTAGCACGAACCCCGTCGGGGTTCGTTCTACATTTTCACTACAAAATTCCAGGACTTTTCAAGTACTTTTTAAGCACAAAAACTCAATTTTCCGATATTTTTTGATATTTGCGAACGTTTCCAGTGGCGATTTTCAAAATAGCCATATTTCAATCCAAAAGCTAAAAAGCAAGGTTCAAGGAGTTTTCCAGGAGTGTCTCGATTTTCCCCATTTTCAAGGCCTTTTCAAGTGCCCTTTGAAAACGAGTTTTCAATCCAAGGACTTTTTAAGGATTTCAAGGAGTAGTACGAGCCCTGATTTATAAATGCTGCTAGGCAATGAGACCTCAAACCAACAACAGATAACCCAATGGATTTTATCGAGTACTATAGGACTATATAAATCTATTTCATCTT